TTTTTTTCCATGTGCTGAGTCGATTGAAGTCAAGCCATATCGTTTTGTGGATGGCTTTCACGTGATATTCATGGACTCAACACTTTCTCAAGGCCACAAAAGGTCTCCCCTGTACATTGCGTAGCAAGATGTACTTGCCTTTCATGGGATTCTTCTTTCACGGAAGGATCATCTGTCACACTGGCGTGTCTGTCAAAAGTGAGACGTTGAACCTCTTCTTCCGCTTGATCCTGCCAAAACCAAATTGGCTTCGGTTTTCAATGCGGCACACCCACCCTCTGGCTTTGAGGAACCTCTTGAAATTAATCCACTGCGCCACGGGCAGGGCAACTTGAGGTGTTCCTTCAGCGGCTGAGTCGTGCTGCACACAGGTGGCATCATGAACAAAGCGCGTCCATTGAATGGCATGTGGAACCGCCATCCGGAAAGCTGGACAAGATGGCTCGATGACCGTCAGGGCTAAGGCTTCCCGTGGATACGGGTTGCCATCACCAGGACGAAGATGTTTCACATGGATCCATCCCTGAACTTGTCGAGGCCTTGGATGATGCCGCATCATAGCTCTTGAGCTTTGCCCCCCTAGCCCTTGCTTTTGCTTTTGCCTTCGCCTTTGCTTTTGCCGCTGGAGGCATGGCGACAGATTGGGTCTAGGCAGGTGAGGCCACTCAATGTCAAGCTGAGATGCAAAATGCTGCAGAATCCAGAAACAATGCAGAATCCAGAGTCCAAAATGACAGAACAATTTGGCGCTTAAGGAAATACATAGAAACGAGAATAATCTTGCCACTTACTCAGCGCCAAGACTTTTCTTGTTTCATTTACACGGACGAGTGCAAATTCATGGGGACCCTGGCCAGCTCAGCAAACATGGCGAACAAGCAAGAACATGCGCCTCGACCGTCACCAGTCTCACCCGCACATTTTGCACAAATCCCTTCCCCGATCACTATTGACAGATAACTATCGCACGTAAGATTGCTCCAAGTCCACCTGGTAGATGAAATCTCGGAAGCGCTGTACAGTCCATGCGTGGGAAATGCTTGCAAACAGTTCCCTCTCATCCTCATGCACCAGGGCTATGACCGAGGCAGGCGCCTTCCGATCCATAGCGCGCTGCTTGGCCTGCGCAAATTCTTCCAAGGTGCCTGCAAGTTTGAACGTCCGGCGCTCCAACTTCTGGAGCAGGTCGTAGATGGCACGATTGCTCTCTTTGCACTTCTCAGTGCAGTGCACCTTGCGCTCTGTGCGCAATCCTCGTTTCATCTTCAAGCATGGCCCACTCCCACTGATGACAAAGCCTGGGGTTGTCAACCAGGCACCAGTCAGCCCAACAGCGATGGATGTCAGAAGGGGCAAATTGTTGAGATTGGGTAAGACAAGTACCTGTGCCGAAGCCAGTTGGAGTGTCACATGCCAATCCTTCTGGTCCATGGCATTGTCCAGCTGGCGGCAGCGCAAATCATCAGCAACCATGACAGCCAATCCATGCAATTCCTGCACTGGAGGCTGTTCTCTCCGACGGACTTGCTGACCCAAACGTAGCTCGGCCCTCTCCCGCTTGAGCATGTTGGCTTCTTTCTTTTCAAAGTAGCTGATGGCTTCAGGCAACATTTCCGCTGGGACCTCATTGATCTTAACTGTTCCGGAGCGAAGACATTCAAAGATCTGTTTCATTTCCTTCTTCGCATTGAAATGAAGTTCCCGATCATGGTCATCTGTCCAGGCAGCCGACGAGCAAGCAACCACTTTGTCATGTGGATCATGTGGGTTCTCCATGCCACGTTGGACGGCCAAACGGCGTCTTTTTTTGAATTCTGACTCCGTAACCTTTTCAGGCGTCATCTGCCAT